GCTCAAGGGTCTTTTGTCAATGACGACAGATGAAGACCCAGTCTTCGGGCTGGAACCTGTGGGGCTCAGGGGGATTGCCAGACTCATAGAGGGCCCTAAGTTTAGGTCAGACATGCTTGTGTACATGTTGAAGACGTTCAAGAATCAAGCACATCTTGATTGCTCATCTCTGCTATAAGTTCAGACTGGAAGTTAGGGATTATAGGGGTAGGGGTACCAAACATAATCTCAAAGGGAGTCAAACCCATCTCGTAAGGAGAATTTCTTACATGAAAGAGGGCAAAGGGAAGGAGAGTAACCCAGCCTGCACCAATCTCTAGGGCTAATTTGGTTAAGGTCTCTTTTAGAGTCCGGCTCATTTTTTCTACTTGTGCAGAACTTTGGGGTCAGTACTGACCATGTAATTTCCAATTAACCCCAGGATGGTGGCTAAGCTCTGACTCACCTGGGACACGAATGCTGGTCCATTATCTGACCCTATCATTACGGGGAACCCATACCCTGGCAAGATGTCTTCTAACAACCTTTCTGCCTCTGTCTGAGCTGTCTCATGTGTGGCAGGATACACTTCAACCCATCCAGAAAAGGAGTCAAGGAACACCAGGAGGTACCTGCAGCCAAACTGACCAGATTTGATCTCTGTGAAATCAACTTTCCAGTACGCACCCGGCTTCTTACCCCTTAATCGTGTCCTGGGATTTCTGGGGTGGGTAGTAGCATTGTTTAGTAGACAAGCTTTACAACTGTTGACCAGATCCTCTATGACTTGATTCCCATTTTGTATTTTTACTTCTGCATGTCTTAATAAGCCCTGCATCCATTGGCTGCCCATGTGGGAAGAGCGATGTATTAAGCCCTAACTGCCTTGGCAGAATTACCTTATTGTCAGTAGCCCTCCACCACCCCTCGAGGCACTGAGTCATAGGGAGGGTCCTATTCCAGGCCATGTCTTCCTCTGTATAATCAGGGGTTTCGGCAGCACAGATTGGCCTGGGTCCAGCAAGACTGATGCTAAGGTAGATGTCATGGCTGCTTTCCGGGCAGCTTGGTCAGCCAAGTTATTACCTCTCGATATTGGCCCACTGCCCTTCTGATGCCCTGGACAGTGAATTATAGCCAGTTTCAGGGCCCCCACAAGGCCTTTAGGAGGTTCTGAATTTCCTCTTTATTTTTGATTGTCTTTCCCTCAGCTGTTAGGAGCCCCCTCTCTTTATAGACGGCCCTGTGAATGTGAACTGTGGCAAATGGATAGTGACTTTAAGATAAACCTTTAAGATAAAGGTTGATCTTTTTCCCATGCCCCAGCTCTAGGGCCTTAGTTAGGGCTATCAGTTCTGCTTTCTGAGCTGATGTTCCTGCTGGCATTGATGATGCCCAGATTACCTTGTCTGTTGTGGTAACAGCCGCCCCAGCATACCTCGTTCCATTCCTCACTGCTCCCATCAGAAAACTATATTTCTTCAGCATCTGGTAGTAGTGTGTCTCTAAGGTCTGGTTGGAAACAGTGAGCCTGGGCTAGTATTCTGGAGCATTCATGAAGTGGTGCATCCAGATCTGGGTCAGGTAGCAAAGTAGCCGGATTCAAAGCTGTTGGGACCTGGAATGTTATTCTGGCTGGATTAAGCAACAAAGTCTGGTAGTGAGTCATGCAGGCATTGCTTAGCCAGCGGTCAGGGGGCTGTTTGAGCACTCCCTCTAAGGAATGTGGGGTTGCTATTGTGAGGTTTTGGCCCAAAGTTAGCTTATCTGCATCCTTAACCAGGAGGGCTACTGCTGCTATAATGTGTAAACATGGAGGCCACCCAGGTGCTATAGGATCTAATTTCTTCCACAAGTAAGCCACTGGCTGTTTCCATGGTCCTATTGTCTGGGCGAGCACTCCCTTTGCTATTCCTTTATGCTCATCTACAAACAGAGAAAATCGTTTGGTAATGTCTGGTAGCCCGAGTGCAGGGGCTTCTGGGAGCTTTTACTCAAGAGCTTCAAAAGCCTGTTGTTTTTCCTCTGTCCAAATAAAGTCCTGACCTTCTTTTGTGGCTTCATATAACGGTTTGGCCAGCTCAGCAAAGCCCGGGATCCTCAAATGACAGAACCCAGCGGTGCCTAAAAACTCGCTCACTCCTTTAGCGGTAGCAGGAGTGGGGATTTTTAGCACAGTCTCTTTGCCACCTTTGGCACCCCCAGCAGGACATACCCCAGTTACATTATCTGCTGTTTGCAGATCTAAGCCTTCTTGGCTGAAGCTCCATACCCCAGGTTTCCAAGAGTTTGTAGTAAGCTTTCTGTACCCAGGCAGGTTTCTTGGTCTGCAGCTGCGATCAGCAGATCATCTAAACACTGTAACAGAGTGATACCTGGGTGCCATACTCACCCAAGTCCTCATGGAGGGCTTCATCAAAAATAGTTGGTGAGTTTTTGAACCCCTGAGGTAGTCGGGTCCAGGTCAGTTGTCCACTGACGCCAATCTCAGGGTCCTGCCACTCAAACGCAAAATAAGGCTGACTCTGGGGTGCCAGGGGTAGGCTGAAGAATGCACCCTTAAGGTCTAGGACCGCGTACCATTGTCAGTCCAGAGGCAGGGTGCTGAGTAGAGTATATGGGTTTGGCACTGTAGGCTGAATATCTATGACATTTTTATTTACTTCTCTCAAATCCTGGACGGGCCGATAGTCGTTAGTATGGGGCTTTTTGACTGGCAGGAGGGGAGAGTTCCAGGCTGACTGAATAGGCTTTAGTACACCTAGTTCCAGCAGCCATCTATTGTGAGGAGTTATCCCCCTTTTAGCTTTCAGAGGCATTGGATATTGTCAGAGTTTTACTGGGTCTGTGCCTGCTTTTATTTCCAAGTACAGAGGGGAGTGATGGGCTGCTAAGCCCATGCCTCCCGTCTCTGCCCATGCCAAGGGGAACTTCTGAAGCCAGACCTGAACAGATTCATCAAACTCTGGGAGGCTCTGGTGAAGTCTATATTCCTCAACCAAGTCATGTGTTATCGTTACTTGGAGTAGTTGGCCTTCCTGCCGGAACAACTTTGCTCCCTTTTCAGAAAAGTGAATTTGTGCTTGCATGTTTGCAAGCAAATCCCGGCCCAGGAGGGGATATGGACACTCAGGTATTACCAGAAAAGAATGGGTTACTCGTCCCATTCCTAGATCCACTGATCTTTGAGTAGTCCATGGGTAAGGTTTGATTCCTGTGGCGCCCTGGACCCATGTTCTCTTATTGGATAGAGGGTCTCCTGGTTCTAACAGTACTGAATTCTCAGCTCCGGTGTCCACCATAAAGTTTATATTTTCCCTCTCTACTTTCAGGGTTATCCTGGGTTCAGGGAGGGAATCCGAGCCCTGACACCCCTAATCGCTGTCTGTCTGGAGAACTTTGGCTCTTTGTTTCTTTTTAGGGCATTCCCTAGCCCAGTGTGCTTCCTCTTTGCAATAGGAGCATTGTTTTTTTTTTTTTTTTTTTTTTTTTCTCAGTCTGGGGGTTTTGTGCTCTCTGTCCTTGGACCATTCCTTATCCAATCTTATATGCCCTGGCCCTGGTGTGCGGCCGCCATTAATTCCCACATTGGTTAGAATATCAACAAGCTGTTGATGGTGTCTCTCCTGCTGGGCTTCTAGGATTCTGGCCAGGCTTCTTTCTTGTCTCTTCTTTTTATTTCTTTTTCCTCTGCACTTTCCCTACTATAATAAACTCTCTCTGCCACCACCTTATACCTCTCTCTGCTAGCCAATCCAGTTTCTGAAGTTTTTTTTCTGATGTCTGACGCTGCCTGATTCACAAAAGCGAAGATCAGAGTCAGCTCTGTTTCTGGTGCTTCTGGATCATACGGAGTCTATCTCCTGAAGGCCTCCTGCAGGTGTTCTAAAATCGCCGCTGGACTCTCTTCAGCTCCCCATCTTACATCATATACCTTACTCATATTTGCAGGCCGTCTAGTTGCAGCCTTGAGACCCGCCAACAGAGTCTGGCGATAGACCTTGAGTCTCCCCTTACCTTCTGCAGAGTTATAATACATTTTTATTCCCTATGTCCAATTTTTGTTGACCCATTCAGATTTACTGTTGCATTCTTTTCGAGTTCAACTTCTGGTTAATTGAGCCCATTACTCTTTACACCTTGTTTTGCCTAGTCTAGGATACATGGATTTATTGTCCCAGCCTTATCTTTCCCACAAGTTCAACTTTTGGTCAATTCAAAAAAAAATGCTGGTCAGCAAATACCTTTGGAGGAAGAAGAGGGAAGGGGAAGGAACATCTTTTAAGATGGCTACTAATTTCTCCCTTTCAGCGCCTGTGACACATGCCCTGTGAGATGAGAGGATCTGAGACCCAGGACTTTCTTTGTTTCCCTTTATTAACTATCATTAAGAGATCTTATGGGTGCAGGGCACCAGGGCGGTGGTGGTACATGCCTCTAATCCCAGCACTTGGGAGGCAGAGCCAGGCAGACCTCTGTGAGATCAAGGCCAGCCTGATCTACAGAGTGTCAGGACAGGCACCAAAACTATACAGAGAAGAAGAAACCCTGTCCTGAAAATAAAACAAACAGGCAAAAAACAAAACAAAACAAACAAACAAACAAACAAACACAAAAGAGGTCTTAAGGGGTCTAACTAGGAAGCATGCCTGTACTGGGTAAGCTACCTATTATCTGAGCCTAGAGCTTTGCAAAAATGAGGGAGTTGGCCTAGGAGTTTATCAGTTTGACATGCTTTTATCCCTACCACCCCGACACACACACAGAAGTGCAATATTAGTGCATTGACCCTCTCTTTTGGTTTTCTCCTAGGGATCCAGAGGTGAAAGGGGAGACTAGGGTCCCAAAGGAGAAAAAACAATGGCAAATCTGTACAAGTGATGTGCTGCAATAGAAGTGGGAGCTCCCCCACCTGTGGATTGAGGGATAGTCATCATAAAAAAATGGCTGACTAAATCTATCCACAGCCAGTTCCAAGTGGCATTTCAAAACAGTCACAGTATTTGTTGTTCTTTTCATAGGGTTTCCCTGGATTTCCTGGAATGCTGGGGCAGAAAGTAAGTGTCTAGAAGTAGAGATGACAGATCTTAGGTCCTCCAAACAGCAAATGGAGCCTCCTTTTGGTCCTTCAGGCAGAAACATTGTTTTTACCTGTGGAAAGTTCCAGTTTGAAATGGGGACCAAGTTGTTTTATCCACTGGGAGAGGGTAGCAGGAGGTCTGAGGTCAACCTCCAGTTTGGTGGGGAAGGCTATTCCCACTCCCTCCATACACACACCACGGAGAGAGGTCTCTCTTTGTTTCTCCTACCTAAGAGAGAAGTATGGATCACCTTGGGAAGAAGAAACAGGAGATCTCCATGAATAAACTGGGTGTGTGTGTGGGGGAATAGAGGGAAGGGGATGGAGGATGAGAATATGAGGAGATAATAGGATGGTTGAGCTGGGGGAGGGACAGAGTGGGAGAGCAATGAAAGAGATACCTTGATAGAGGGAGACATTTTGGGGCAAAGGAGAAACTTGGTGCTAGGGAAATTCCCAGGAATCCACAAGGATGACTTCAGATTAGACTACTAACAATAGTGGTGAGGGCGCCTGAACTGGCCTACCCTGGTAATCAGATTGGTGAACACCCTGTCATCATAGAGCCTTCATCCAGTTAACTGATGGAAGCAGATGCAGAGTCGCACAATGAAGCACCAGGCTGAGCTCTGAGAGTCCAGTTGAAGAGAGGGAAGAGGAATTATATGAGCAAGGGGAGTCAAGATCATGATACAGAAATCTGCAGAGACAACTGAACAAAGCTCATAGAAACTCACAAACTTTAGACTGACAGCTGTGGAACCTGCATGGGACTGGACTAGACTCTCTGCATACGGGAGACAGTTATGTAGCTGGGCCTTTTTGAGGCGCCCCGGCAGTGTGATCAGTATCTATCCCTGGTGCATGAGCTGGCTTCCTGGATCCCATTACCTATTGTCAGACACCTTGCTCACCCTTGAGGCAGGTGGGAGGGGCTGAGGGCTGCCTCAACTGAAAGTACCAGGCTTTGCTGTCTCCACCCCCATGGGAGAACTTACCCTTTTGGAGGAGAGGATGAACAGTGGGTCGAGGGGAGGTAGGTGGAGGTAGAGGAGTGGGAGGAGGGATCTCAGCTACATTGCCTCTGTGTTCTTCTCTTCTCCCTGGTCATGCTGGTCTGTCTGCCTCTACAGAAAATGCCTGTCTCTTCTTTCCCTCACCACTTGGTTCTCTGCCTCCTCAGGAATGTTGCTCCACCCTACCTTCCACCTTGATATGTAAAATGCTCTTTTATTCCCAGTCAATTGTTCTGGAGAGCCACGAGGCCTCAAGGTAAGGGGATGGTCTGAGCTTCATTTGCACAAGAAACAAAACCATGCATCCTCAGCCAGCCTGTGTCCTAGGCTCAGAGCGGGAGTTAGTTACCTAGAAGTTCAGCAGGTCTGAGGAGCTGAACTGTTTTCCAAATGGTCTGGGGATATTTGGGCACACAAGAATTCCATAACAGAAGACAGCTGAAATATTAAAAGCTGCATAACACCAAATATTCATAATGAATGGCTTGCCTTTTGACAGACCCTTGGCTGGTCAAAGTATAGCTTTAATACACAGCTTAATCTCTATGATATATTCTTGTGGCTTGCCACAACATCCCTGGGAATTTAGTTCTGGGTTGTGTAAGAAAACAAGCCAACCAAGCTATGGAGAGGAAACCTAGCAGACAATACTCTTCATGGCTTCTAATTCAGTTCCTGCCTCCAGATTTCTCCCAACTTCCTTCATGATAGATTATGTTAGGACATTTTCACTGAAATGAACCCTTTCCTCGCCAAGTTGCTGTAGGTCATGGTGTTTCACCACAGTAATAGAAAGCCTAACTACACTAGATGGATGTGTGGTAGCTGTCCAGACCTGGGTCTTAGGAACAGGAAGTGAGGGCCTGCTAAGAGTGATAGAAACCGTGTAGTCACAAGAAAATCACAAAGAGTGCACGAGCACCGGTCACTAACTGAGGAGCTGTTGACACTTGATAGCCCCTGGGCTGCAGCATGTCTGTTTTCTTTCAGGGTATAGCCCCTTAGGTCAACCTCTCTCCAGCTGGTGTTCCCAGACCCTTGAGTGTATGACCAGTGTACACAGGACTGAGTAGACAATGAAAAGGGAAAAAAGACAGACTGCTGTGATGGAGTAGGAGTGAACAGAGACATGGGAGGAGTAGGGGGAGTAACCACATTCAAAGAACATCGTAGGAATTGTGGTGGCTTGAGTGAGAACGGCCTCCATGGGCTCGTATTGTTAGTGCTTGCTTCCCAGTGAGTGGAACTGTTTGGGGAGAGTTAGGTGGGGTAACCTTGTTGGAGAAAGTATGGCATTTTGGAGGATGTGTGTCACTGGGAATGGGCTTTGAGGTTTACAAACCCCATGCCAGGTGCCCAGTTTCTCTCTCTCTCTCTCTCTCTCTCTCTCTCTCTCTCTCTCTCTCTCTCTCTCTCTCTCTCTCTGTGTGTGTGTGTGTCTGCCTACCAGGATAGGATGTAGTTCTCAGCTATTGCTCCAGTATATGTGAGCCACCATACTCCCTGCAGTGATGGTAATGGGCTAAGTGTCTGTAACTGTGCACACAGTTTTATTTATGCAATACGTTCATTATGTTAAGAATATCAACATTTAAAATTTTTTTCTTAAGGTTTATTCATTATGTATATAGCATTTTGTCTGCATGTATGCCTGTAAGCCAGAAGAGGACACCAGATTTCATTACAGATGTTTGTGAGCCACCATGTGGTTGCTGGGAATTGAACTCAGGACCTCCAGAAGAGCAATCTGTGCTCTTAAACTCTGAGCCATCTCTCCAGCCTTAACACCAACATTTTTGTACAATTTTCTTTTTAAAAAGACTTTTCAGTTTTACTTTTGTTGCTAAAGTTTATTAGTGGAATTTCAAATTCATTTTATTAGTGTCAACCTTCGCCTTGCCTATTTTTCTTCCTGTTTTTTTAACTTCCCCTTCACCTACACATTTTCTAAAGTTGTACATTTCAGGGTGTACTTATAAGGCTTACTCCACTCTTCCTCCCTTTTATCTCCTTTGGGTTTTATTTAGTTATTGTGTTTGTATATAATATATATAATATGTATATATGATATATATGTGATGTGTATGCATATGTATGTGTATTGAATGAATACCATATATACATGTATGCATGTGTATGATATACATACATATCTTATTTATTAAGGCATATGATATACAAGCTGTTTAATTCACTTTTCCAGAGATGAAATATTTCCATGTTAAGTTTGTCTTATTCTCAAAGGCTGTCAAGGAATATATTTGCTGATAAACTGTCCAACATGTCTGTGTCAGCTCCTTTTTGCCTACATAGTGTTGTAAAGTATACTTCTTAGCCTGTAACCATTTGGGGTTTAGTTTTGATCTGTGATATGTCCATGCTTTGTGCAAATGAACATGTATAGGAATTTGCACATGCCCAGTATACTTAAATAATTTTTATTTAAGTTAACTATATGATGCAGTATATTATCTGTAATTTAATATTAAGAAACTAGCCGGGCGTGGTGGCGCACGCCTTTAATCCCAGCACTCGGGAGGCAGAGGCAGGCGGATCTTTGTGAGTTCGAGGCCAGCCTGGGCTACCAAGTGAGCTCCAGG